TTAATAAGGGCTTCCGTCTAGCTGCTCTGCAACGATAACCCAATCTGTGGAGAATCCGTTGAACAGATTCAGGCTCATCCCACCAACTTTGGCCACTTCTGCAATCGTTAATCTGGGATCCATTTCGATGCTCCTTTTGACAGCCCTTTTTGTCCTCTCCAATGGACCAGGACGACCCGGACGCTGCTCAGTTGTTTCCTTGCCGTGTTTCCTGAACTGCACAATGATTCTATTGACTGTTGAAAGCGGGATTCTGTGCAAACGAGGCAGTTATAATTGCATACTCAAAATATTTATTGATCAGGAATACATCAATTTTGAATAAAAAATAGATGACTTTCCTTAATTACACCATTCTGAAGAAATGTTCTGAAGCAGCCACTAACAACTGAATATTGGATTGCTTCTAATGTGACCAATTTGGTGACTGTTCCTCCAGCTAGTCCATTCTCTTTGTCAGAAGTTTAATGTGACCATACATACATGCATTAGTTTGAAATCTACACATTCAATTCTCAAGTTTTGTATTTGTCAGCTTTTCATCCTTCATGATTTAAAACAGTGTGACTATGGTATAAGTGGTTTCAACAAAACTTGGCAACATAATTAAAACCTGTCTTGTTTCAAAAGAACTTAGCAGCATAATTAAAATCTGTCCTGTTTCAACAGAACTTAGCAACATAATTAAAACCTGTCCTGTTTCAACAGAACTTAGCAACATAATTAAAACCTGTCCTGTTTCAACAGAACTTAGCAACATAATTAAAACCTGTCCTGTTTCAACAGAACTTAGCAACATAATTAAAACCTGTCCTGTTTCAACAGAACTTAGCAACATAATTAAAACCTGTCCTGTTTCAACAGAACTTGGCAACATAATTAAAACCTGTCCTGTTTCAACAGAACTTGGCAACATAATTAAAACCTGTCCTGTTTCAACAGAACTTGGCAACCTAATTAAACCGTTAAATAATTATACCTTATTTGTAACTGTTATTATACCTTATGATTATACCTTATTTGTAACTGTTATTATACCTTATGATTATACCTTATTTGTAACTGTTATTATACCTTATTTGTAACTGTTATTATACCTTATGATTATACCTTATTTGTAACTGTTATTATACCTTATGATTATACCTTATTTGTAACTGTTATTATACCTTATGATTATACCTTATTTGTAACTGTTATTATACCTTATGATTATACCTTATTTGTAACTGTTATTATACCTTATTTGTAACTGTTATTTCTGTGCTTACTAGGCAATTATAGGGGTTGAACACTTAAAACTGCAGACTCAAAATACTTATTGATCCAGAAAACATAACTTTTGAATCAAAAATGCACCTCAATGACTTTATCATAAATGTACCAGAGTGCATTTCAAAGCATTTAAAATTTCAAAAATTTCCAGACAAACCTTAAATCAGACTGTGAATTTAAAACATAAAAAACCAAGCCAGCATTATCTGATAAACACTGTGCTATAAGTGAAAATATATATGTGCTAAAACAATTCAATTACAAACAGTCAATATTGTTGAGAGGATGGCAAATGCATCCTTTAAAAAATTTAGAAACTATGGCAATATACCTCTGAAGAAATTCCTATGCTTAAAGCATTAATTCAATCCAATGCTAAGCCTCATTACCACATCTATCAGACAAAACAACAACACAAAGTAATACTAATAAAAGAAATATATTCAAAAAACTGTACAGTGGCTTGTAAAAATAAACATAAAAATATCACTACATAGGAATATTTAAAACGTATCTGGTGCACTTTATATTTTTATAAATAAAATAATATGTAAATCATTATAATTATTATCAATTACTTTAGGTAGAAGCAATAAAATAAACTTTTTAAAACTAACCATTTGGATTTTGTCCTTTATAAAACAGTTTCAGAAGCTTGACAGCATCATCGGCATTAACACCACTTGTAACCTAAATTAGATACATTTTAAAATGGAAAAAAAATTAAACATTCTATAAAAGCTATAGGAATAAAGATTTAATGGTTTTTTTTATCATATGTTCAGTAAAAAAACAAACATTTCCATTTGAAAAAGTTATTATAATAATAACCATAAGATATTTTAGAGAACATTTTGAGAAAACCATATTTCCAAGTCATAAACTAAAAACATAATTTTACTTTCCTAAATTCCACTATGTTTTCAAGGTACTTAAAAAAAAAACGTATATGATCATATAGGTAGATGAATTAGAATTCCTAATTCGCTACTGAAAAAGGACGATCTACTTTCCAAAAAAAGTATCTGGATTATTAGGTTTCATAAACTTTAATTTATTTAGTTTATGTTTGGTAATTATAGCAAAAATGTTAGTGGCATTCTAACTCTATAATGATGACAACTAAACCATAATTCTTGTAATTTTCTACACCTAATTTCTTAAGTAACCCACCTGTAATGATCTTCCAAATCCTGGAACTTCATCGTTATGTATGTTCATGACTGAACCGCAACCACCAAATCGTTCATTGTTGCACCCATACACAACTTGTGGAATGTCTGAGGGTGATAAAAGTTATATATATGTAAAACAATATTCATAGATAAATCTGTAATAAAATATGCATAGTTTAAGTAGTAGTAAGATAGTTTTCCTACTAAAAAAACTGATATGATTGGATAAAAAAATAGTTATTAAAAACTTTAATGCAGTGTTTCATCTACATTTTCTGGTTTATAGCCTTCGTGAATTCCCAGTTAGAGTATTAAACACATGTATTAATTTAAACTTTTTGTCTAAAATAAATCAATAATAATTTTTGTTATACTTGCATAAAGATGCACCTTGAGAGACGGTATGAAGAAAACAGAGTTATTAAATTATTAGCAGACATTATCAGAAGGCAATGAATAAGGTTTGATGTGTTAGAGTATCAATGGAAATAAATTAATATACTGTTTTTCTGTAGTGGATATGGTGCGGCAAAAGGTCTCACATTTAACACTTCTAGACCACTCAGCTATGTGGCTACACACCTTAGAAC